TAACCCATTTCCTCATACACTCAGGAAGACTACATTTCCTAGCACTCCTTGCGGGGTTGTCATGGAATGAGTTTGGCCAATGAGAATATGAGTAGAAATGATGAGTCACTGTGATTCCAAGGCAGAAATTGGTATGGATTTTCCATATTCCTCCATCTCTGTGCTTAGAAGTGGAGGACTCCAACATGTCGCATCCCATGGAAGTAGCCTACATCTTTGCATCACTCTTTCCCACTGAGACAACCTACACTGGTCTGTGATTTGATCAAGAAATAAATCTTTTTTTTGTGTTAGGTCACTGATACTTATAGGTTTTTCTGTTGCAGCAACCAGAGTTGTTTATTATAAATAATACAATCTCACAGAGCTGTTTTAAAGTAAATAACATTCCTCTACATAACCGTTGAAATGTCTATTTATTAATAACTGGTGCAGTGTTTATTTTTAGATAGAACATAAAAAATCAGGTAAGAATTGTTTGCATAATATATATATTTATATGGAAATCAACTTATTAAAGTTGTTCAAATATTGGACAGAGCCAGAATATAAATTACACATACAGTTTAAAAATTACAGGAAATCATATTATAAAGAGCACTAAAGGCCACTTGTGGAATAGTTGTGTTCCCGTGTAAGCCAGAACGTGAAGAGAGCCTATTCGTAGCACGGAGGAGACAAGTCCAGGGAGCAAGGCACCAGAATTCTATGCCAGAAGAAGGGGGTAAAAGAAGATATGACCCAAATCATATACAATGGGTTCACATCATTGGAAACCTCAATTGTTCTTCGATGACTGATATTTTTGATCCCTGCTACGTAGAAAAGGGTGGGGGGAAATAATCCTATCCCATCTGAAGCAAAGCAGAGATCACTTTTTCCTTTAAGTCTAGGAAGGGTCACCAAATGTGATGAGGTTCATCTGTCTTTCTTAGGGATTTTCCAGAATAAGGCAGAGCCTACTTTACCTCTCTATCAGCAAATGCCTGAAGCTAGACAGAAAGGCTGCCCCAAATTTTGGAACTTGGCCCACAGCTGGGTTTCCAATCCTCAGGGAAACACTGGAGAGTAAAGCTGATTCTCTCTCCCTTGGAAATGTATTCAGAGGGGTAAAGAAGGGCGCCATTGGCAGATCTGGTTGGTTTCCATGCAGAATCTTGATCTTTTCATATTGAGAAAGAGAGAGTCACAACTGTTCTGAGCTTTTGGCCTCCAGAGAATGTTTTTAAAGACTAGCCTGTTTCTACAGGAATCCAAAGCCCTGAAATAAAGGTGTAGTTTAGAGACAAAAGACCAGCACTGGAGTCAGCGGAGACTTAGAGACATTTGAACTCCCTCCATTAAAAACAATGACAGAAGATCCTTGGGGACAGAGAACAAAGGGCGCTTGTGGGATTAGCTGCAGCCACCAAACCCCAAGAGCTAATGGATTCCAGCATGAACCAGGTGAATAATTTATGTGGCCTTAGTTTCTGTCATTGACAGCTGGATTGTGAAACCAAAGGACTGAATAGTCCCGGCATCTCTGCTCTCCCCAGGGAGTCTGTGGGTCTGTGATCATTTTACTGTAAAGCTGACCAGACAGAGGAAGGCAAGGCCTCATGGGGGGACACAGGGCCTGAATTGGGAACATTTATATGACACAGGAGACTTGGAATGCAGGTGAGGGCAGAATTTGAGTGGGAGAACCATGGGATTTGGCTACAATCTCAGCTCTTCCTCCTATAATATTTGAATTTGGGCAAGGTCATTTCTGTTTCCCTCTCATTTTCAGTTTCCTCATCTCTGAGACTGAGACAGGAATGTCTCCCTCGTGGGCTTGGGATGAGGATGGCATGGTCCATAGAGAACAGTTGTGTTTTCTGATATTCATGAAGAGAACTTAGGTTAAGCTTCTCTCTCCTTCCTTGACCTCAGTCTTATGGGCAGAGAAAGAGAAGGGAACACTGAACTTAAATAAAACATGCTCTCATTTTTCATTACTCTTAGGCTTCAAATTTCAGTCTTTTTGACAAGTAAAAGAGCAATTACAAATACATTTCTAAACAGTAGGCCAGGTTTTTGATGGATTGTTAGCCATTCTAAGATTAATATCATAAAGTCACCATTTTGACTGTTAAAATCTAGTATTTTTTTTTCCTGAAACTTATTTTAATCCCAGAACAGTGCTATTGGGAGGAACAAGTCTTGGGTACAATTATAATTTTTCAATTACTCCCATCCAAGAACTTGACCACCTTTCTCCTTGATTCTCTTAGTAGCATTTGGTTCAGCCTGACTCAGGAGAGCCAAACTCCTTCCATGGAGTTTAAGAGTAACTAAACATGGTCACTCTTCATCAAAATGCAGAAAGCCCAGATTCTAGAAGATCTGTCCCAAGTGGAAACCAACTACAGAGATCTTTATGAGAGTCAATAAAGGCCTGGTGATTTCTTAAAATAATACCCTACTTACACAAACATAAAATGTCTTAAGTTGAATCCCATTTGGTTCTTGTAGCTTTTGATGAAGGCCCTAGAATACCTGGTTAGGACCTGGTGGAATGGGGGTTTTCTGGGACAAGGTTTGAGGAACCAGGCTGTGCTCAGGAGACCAGATCCCAGTAGAAAGGGACACCTTTGGTAGAACTGGCAATTTGGGGTAATATAGATCCCCAAAGAAATCATATCTCATTGTCTTAAATCAGACCCATAGAAAAACCCATTTGCTTGTCCCATAAAAGGGGATACAAGCTGAGTTGTGACTCTGGGGCTGAAATGAGTTCAAGCTGGGCCAAATGGATGAACCAGTTCAAGTTTGTCAGGATGAAGAGGGACAAAGCAGGAATAGCCAGATAAGTGGCCAAGGGTTGCTCTTTATATTTTCTCAACTGCATCTAGTACAGGAGGCCTTTGGAAGATAGAAGGAGTTTGGAAGGAGGAACATTTTCATCTTTGAATACATGGGAACATCGATCATATTTCAGAGATGGGAAGAAGTCTCAGGAAGTATGTCTGGTTTAGGACTTTATTGAGTGGGCCAGGAAATTTTCATTCATTTTCTGGGCTCCACAGTCACATTTCTTTGTCTCCAACATCTGGACCAGGATTCAAGAGACTTGCATTCTAGGTTCACTCTGCTACTCCATCCCTTATTTAATCAGAGACCTGGTGTGATTCCCCACACTCTGAGCCTCTGCTTTCCCATCTAAAAAGAGAGGTAGTTCTTCTGGATGGTCAGGTTTCCCCACGCTCTGAGTATCTCAGAATTTATGAAATTTTGTCTCCACGCATCTATATAATAAGTCAAAGCCAGTCATGATTTTCCTACAGGAGTGCCGAAGCTGAGGCTGATAAAGTCTGGGACAAAGTCCCCAGGAAGGATTTGACATGCTCTAACTTTCTTCTGCAAGTTTCCCAACTTGCTGCTAGGGTGGGTCTGACAGCCATCACGTCTTGAACCAGGAGTCCTTTCACATTTAATCATTCCTCTTTGACTTTACCTCCTGTAAACCCTCTTTTGAGAGAACAGTGCAGCATCTGGGTCTAGGGGAACGTCCTAGCCCCGCCTCTGGGATCAAACTTTTCTCCTCTCTTCATCCTGACATTCCTTCTCTTCTGCATTTTGTTGAAGAGTAACCATGTTTGGTTATAGAGTGGTACTTATATAAAAAGTAATTGTAACAGGGTCTGATTTTGTCATGTAATGATTGGGATTATATCTCTAGCATCATTTTTTTTCCTGAAAAAAAATTTCTGGTATAAAATTAGAAGTCATAAGTAACATCGAAGAGTTAGGCAAATAATCTACATGTACTGTTAAAAGGAACCTGAATAACAGTTCCACACATGGGTCTGTCACTGTACTAGGGGTTTTTCATATAGACTGATTGCCTTATTTGCAATTGACAAAATTAGACAAATAATAGTTGATGTCAAATACTTCTGAATGTTCTAAAACACAAACTTTCATCCAGGTCAGCTCTATATCCTTCTTATCTCTTTGAATTACTATTACTAGTTCTCAAAACCTTGAAAACTATGCAGACTGCCTATCTTGTAACCTGTTCTAACCTGAGTGTCTATGAAGTGCTACCTGCTATCTTGTTTAGAGGGCAATTAGTTCAGTTTTAAATGGTAAAATATCAGTAATACAAGGATGTTGGGTTAATTTAGATGTGAAGAAAAGATACTCTTTTTAAAAGTTCATTCTGAAATGAGTGAATTTTCAAGAACAAGTAAAGACAAATTCCTAAGAATTTTCAGAAGGAGTTTCCTAACTCCTTTCCTAAGAAGTTTTGGAAAGCAAAGAAAATCTTTGTAATCCTAGGTGCCTTGAAAAACTATTCATGGAGACCAAAGGGCAGCTACATGCATCTGCTGGAGAAGCACAGGGTTGGGGAATCAGAGGTGTGTCAGCAGCACTGTTGGAAGTGTAGGTGATTTCCAAAGACCTGGACAAATTTCTTCTCTTGCTCCTAAAGACTTTGACCTGCCAGTTCCCATAGACTAAGTGGCCCCATTCTCTTCAAATGGATGGGGCCATGACCATGGCCTCTCTTGGTAGCATGGTAAAAAACAAGTAGCTCAGCTTCTTGTCTGGCCTCCATCTAGGCAGGGATTTAGAGAGGAGGGAGAAGCTGGCTTCTTCAGATGCCACCTTCTTGTACAGCTTATCTGGAGCCATAAAGTCCAAAACACAAATCCAAACTCCCATTCAGCCCACTCAGGCTTCGCTGGTGTGACTGCTCACACAATCTTGATGCAAGGTTGTGCTCTCACTTTCTTCCTGGTTGAACTTTCAACCGTTTCCAAGCTGGGAAGCATTCTTCATGCCACAGAGTTGTCTGCAGCAATGAAATCAGATATTTTCCATTCTTCGTAAACAGATTGAAGGGGCTTCTGACATGCGAGGCCCCCAGATTCTTAACTTTCTCATGGCAAAAACTGTGGCTTTCTAATCTCTGAATTTTGATTGCACAGTTCCTGGCACAGAGTGATGCTTAATAAATTTTTGTCAAATGAATAAACAAATGAATTTTTCTTTATTACACTCTCATTACAGTAGCATAGAATTATAAAAATAGTTTTGGCAAATCATGAGTGGATTCTGTTATGTTAGGTTTTCTATAGCTAATTACTCTTTCAACTCAAAGTACAAAGTGCCTGAATCGGATAGACATAGATGTGTAACAGTTGACTAATTAGTTTGTGTTGACCTCTACAGTTTGGGGTTTTCCTGTTTTTTTTTTTGTTGTTGTTGTTGTTGTAGTGGTGGTGGTGGTGGTGGTGGTGGTAGTGGTTTGTTTTTAATAAAAACTAGAGCTTAATAATATCAGTGTCATATCTAATAACTCTAAAGTCTCAGTTCTAAGAACGAATACAGTCATTGAAAAGATTTTTCTCAATTTAGTGGTTCTCTTTTTGTCTCCCACTTTAAAAACAATCTTTTGGTGCTTGCTTGTGTGCTAGTGTTTTATAGTCAAACTCATGCTTCATCTCAAGTGTTTTTTCTCACCCCAGTAGAATCTCATTTTGTCTAACATTTGTAAAGTTAATTTATTTTATTCATTTTGATCTTCCTAAAATTTGACCTCTTTAAAAATTTGTGTGCATGCGTGGGTGTGTGGTACAGGGGATTGAACCAAGGACCTTGTGAATAGTGCGTATGTATGCTATCAGTGAACTTAATCCCTGGTTCCAAATTATTTTCTTTCTTGTACTTATTGAATTTACTCTTTTTGTTGTTGTTCTGAAGATTAAGTCTGGGATATCACCTGCTGGGCAAGTGCTTTACACACTTAGTCTCACCTCTTACCTTTTCTATACATCACATTATAACACACAGAGGACAAACAAATAAAATGAGATCATGGTTTTACTTGAGAAGATCATTCCTAGTTTTTGATGTAATTGATTTGTCACTATTTCAAGGGATTTGGCCCAAACCCCTGTGATCCTGGAAAATTGGAAACCCATTGGTGCATATTATAATCTTGGGGCATATTATTAGCCAATTCTTGTGGGTAATTCTTTTGTCCAACAGAAGGACCTTTGTGGAAGCACACACTGTTTCTCCCCATCACTTAAATATTCCATCTTGGTCATTAAACTCCTGCTTCCTCAATACCAGCTCTGTTGTAATGTTGTCTGTGGGCACACAACTTGAACAGGTTTGGTTTGCTTTCCTAGAATGTATTTTTTTGGGGACAAAAAGGAATATCAAACCAGAATTATTGAAGATCAATTTTCTTCTTCTTTTTTTGTTTTCTTAGGTGGGAAAAACAGTTTTAAGATTCTTATTAATTCATGAAATGCATATTTTTCTGTATCCACACTGATAGCTAATAAGAAAACTTACTAGATGTTGGTGACATATGGCTATCAACAAAAATTCAGTTCTTGGACTTAGGAGCCCATGCAGAAGCTAGACTGCCCACCCTTGGTTTGGGAAATGATACAGGTTCCACTTCTCAGTAGGGTACTAAAAGAACATTAAGAAAGTTTCTCTAACTTTAACTTAGAAAAGACAATTTCTGCATACCCTTTCTAACTTTGAGTCCATGGTAAATACTTCCCACTTAGAGCTAAAAAGATTTCACTCTTTTGACCAAGAACTCTATCAAATTCTTGAAAAACATATCTGCTTATAATATATTGATGTTAATAGATTCTGCAGGAATATTGACATATTAGAAATATAATTTATGCATATATGGAGAATTTGATTCATTCTCCATCTTTTTTTTCTTTAAATAACTCAAATACATAAAGACCAGCAGAGTTACTTGTTAGATGGTAGGCAGCACAGTCAGTTCTGGCAAAAGATTCCAGGAGGATGAGAATGAAGAGCTAAACCCTTAGGAAGGAGCATAAAGTTTCTTGGGTTTTGGCCCCGGTAGCATTACTGAAGCCATGTTGAAGGGAGTGGAAAAAGGGATGAAATGGTCCATACCCTTTGCCTCCCAGAATGCCATGAAGCCCAGTGGAAAGCCACAGGGGAGGGCTTCATGTCTGATGCGTGTGATCATTCTTGTGTTCTTCCTGCCTCAATTTCAAGGTCAATACCCATCCGTTCATGGGACCCTCCATGTACAACTCCCTTCTACCATTCACAGTGTCTGCCTTTGTTCGGGCTTTGGTTTTAAGTGCTTAAAGTCAGGAGCCAAGCTTTAAGCACTGCTATATTTTTAGCCTTTTGTACATGACCCATTGGCATATGTGTTGAATGGAACCAACCTCTAAGCAATTTCTTTCCAACTCAGGGCAGGATACCTGGATGAGGTCTTCATGAAACCATCAACCAAATGTCTGCCATAGCAACTATGGCTCCTGTCAAGGAGGAGAACATTGGTAGCAGTTGCAGGTAGACATTGGTTTAGGTCATTTCCATCATCTTGGTGGTCACCATGGCAACTACCCACACAACCAGTGCTTAGATGGGTGAGCAGAGTAAGACCATAGATACTATGGTGTGGCCCTTTAGCTAGTGTAGCCCACGCCTAACAGAAGCCTTTTCTATCAGTCTTTGAGAGAGTTGTAATATCTCTGAAGAGGCCACAGGTGACTTGTGCTGAATATTAATGCTTTTACAATAGTGCTCTTCAGGCCATACGCTTACCCTCCGTGAGTTATGGCTATGCGCAGTTCTAGTATTTTCACTGAAAAAAGTCTGTAGGAGTAAAATTGGATGGTTCTGGAGATTTTGCCTACTTACTTAATAATAGATCAAGCTTGTTTGTGTAATTTTTTTCTGAATCCCAAATGCAATGTATTGAGTAAGCATATTTTGCAATAAAAGCAGACAGCCTCTTCCCCTGGATAAACTATGGCAATTGCTTCCCACATGACACAGAATACTGGTGTCTTGGCATGATTTCTGGGTCCTAATGATAGAGAGGAGGGAAGAGTCCAGGGTAGGGAGGGAGTCAGCAGATGGGGCTTTGAGTCCTGGTTCTGCATGGGACAACAGAGTGACCCCAGCCATGTCATTATACCTGAGCCTAAGATTTCTCATTTCTGAAAAGAATAATTTAGAAAATATAATTACTGCATCCCCTCTTGATTGTAATTTCTGCTTTGGATATGGAGAAGAATGTGAATTGGAACCTTATTTTGAAGATACTGAACTTAGCTCCTGCCTAGAGGGGCTCTTCACTTCTGGCAAATTTCATTATCTTTGCCTACACAATTTGGGAACTACTTTAGTTTGTGTGCTTGTGTCTGTCGGGTGTGTATTTACTGTGTGTGCGTGTGGTGTAATTTCTCCCCTCTGATTCGTAACACATGTGAAATTCTACACTTGGGGTCACCAACACCTTTTTACAGATGAGGAAAGAGGCAGACCAAAGGAGGTCCCTTTGAGAGCTTTGAAATGGACTTTTTGGACTTTGTGGACTTTCCCTTAACAAAATCCTTTCTAAAATTCTTGGTTTGGGAGATTGGATGACTATCTTTCTTTGTGTCTGCTCAGTAGGAAGCCTCTTGGCATGCCATGTGTTTTCGTGGAGAAAATTATTTTCTTGCTTTAGAAAACTGTTAATTACCAGAGTATTTTACACAAAGGGGCAGTGATCCTTAAGGAAAAAAAAAAAAAAGGAAATTCTATTCTCTGCTTACCAAAACAAAACCCAAACCAGCCAACCAAACCAATAAACAGCACGGCTTATTAATAATTTCTCCCGGTACTGGTCCAGTCATGATTAAAAGGAAGAAGAGCAGATAAATGTGTGTCCTAGAAGAGATTAGCGGTACCATTTATATAGTGTCAAGTCATGCAAACCATGCTGAAAGGAAGCAGCTTCGTTGTGGCGACGTGGGAGGAAGAAGGTCGTGAGAAGCCCCTGCTCGCGGGGGGCCACCACGCACGCGCATGCACTTGATGCAGCCATTGGTGTCCCTGCTGGTAAGCGCTGGATGTGAGAGTAAGTGAACTATACAGAGTCTGTCTACATTACAAGGAGGAGTCAGCCAGTGACCCCTTTTAAGAGGGCTTGTTGGAAGGGGTCCATATTGAATCCGAAATCCCGTCCCCTGTGGACGACAGAGGCATGGAGCCACTGGGCGTGAAGGGGTCCGTGTCGGTGTCCGTCTCACCCTCGGCGAGGTACCGCTTCTCCCTCATCCAGCTCGACCCCGCACTGGGGCCAAACATATAATCATCTCTGTCCTGGGAGATGCTGAAGCCACTCGGAGACCGCTCCAGCTCTTCATGATTGACAGACATCAGGGACAGAGGTGTGTCGCTGTCCCGCGTGATGCTACGCCTCTGCCGGGGCGAGATGTGGTCCGAGTAGGGGCCGTGCAGTTCAGCCTGGGAGTGGTAACTCACTCGGGAGTCGAGAAGAGTCAAGATCGGCAGGACGGTGGGCCTCTCTGCATATGTGGACGCCGAGGAAGGCAGAGTGGCCTGAACCTTTGCGGAACTGGGTCCCCCTCGGGGCGGGTTCACCGGGTCATGTGCAAAAAACCTATAGGGGCTGACTTTGTCGATGGGCACCTGGTGGAAGCTGTTGGGGGGATCAGGGGCACCTGTCTCAGAATAGTTGCAGATGATGGTTTTCAAATCAGAATACCTGTTGTCCTCTTTCTTCTCCCCTTCAGCTGGCGAGGAGGTCCCCTTGGTCGGGTAGTACTCGGTGACATGCACCTGCAGCCGCTCCATATGCTGCATATGCATGTCCACAAGGAAATCCAGCTTCTTCCCCATGTCATGAACCTGGAAAATACAAGGGACTGGGCATAACTGCTCCCTCTGGGGTGGGCATCATGATTATTGGTTGGCGGGGGGGCATAGCATATATAAACTTTCCAGAAGGGAAGAGAATTCATGCAAGTCTTAATAATCACAGCAACTAATCATTTATTTTGTGCCTCCTAGCAAGCTCTGCATGAGTGTTAATCTGTAAATAGACTAGGCAGGGTCTTTCTAGGAGGCAGAGGCTGGAAGCAGAGAGATGTTTTGAGGAAAGTGTTATAGGCCTTCATGGTCCCCCAGTGGAAGAGGTGGCCTTGCTCTTTGTTGCTACTCCAAGCAAGGAGTGGGAGTTCATGGTTTACAAACAGTGTTTACCCAGAATCCTGTGGATTCTTGGAGTATGTTTCACCACAAGCTGATGTGAACCCTGGAGGTGCAGGGGCAGTGTTAGCAGGACTTTGTGGAGCTGGAGACCCACCCAGAGCCTTAGGGGTACAGTGGAAGCCACCTCTGCTTCTGTCTGCCTAAATGGGAAATGTATTTGAATTTTGGGGAGGGTGTATACACAAGCCACGTGCACATGTATGTGATATTCTCAATTCCCTGGGAGATGCTGCAGTTGGCATGTGAACAATATCATCCGGGGATATGAAGCACAGTGTAAGCAGAGGGTTCAAACGACATCCAAGCCTTCATGATGTCTGACCCACAGAACAGCTGGTGTATGACTCTATTTCACACACTCTGTGACTCATTTAATTTTACAGAGGTACAGGGAGATGAAGTAACTTGTCAAAAGTCATAGACCTGGTAAATGAAAGAACTGAGAATACACATTAAAGTTTTAAAATAAGAAACAATGTGGGGCTGGGGTGGTGGCTCAGTGGTAGAGCGCTCAGGAAGTACATGTGAGACCCGGGGTTTAATCCTCAGCACCACATAAAAATAAATAAATAAAATAAAGGCATTGTGTCCAATTACAACTAAAAAATAAATATTAAAAAAAAACAATGTGTGTGTAATCCTGGGGATGGAACCCAGGTACATTCTACCACTGAGCTACATCCCCAGCCCTTTCTATTTTTTTTTTTTTTTAATTTGAGACAGGGTTTCAGTAAGTTGCCAAGGCTGGCCTCAAACTTGTAATCCTCCCGCCCATGCCTCTGGAAGAAACAGCGTTCTTGATGGGTCAAAATAGAGAATAATTATTCAAATTTTCTCTCATTTCTTCTGCATAGATCCAATGTGGATTATGAACAAAATAAAAGGATGGATATGTGTGTAGAGGAAACCTTCAGTGCAAAATTAGGCAAATGATGCTAGAATATGAGCTGTTTGGCTGTGGACGTTAAGAGGTACGCTATGTGAGTAGTGGGGGTGGGCAGGTTTCTCTTTTCACACCCACAGCCTGCCCTGGCCACTCCACAGGCCAAGCCCTGAGAGGGACTTAGAAAAAAGGAGGGGAGAGGTGGTGAGAGATGGGACAGGGCACATCTCTGAGGGACCACCGTGGAGTGCATGGGGTGGTGGTGAGCTATATCCAGGCAGTTCGCCTGTGTCAGCTCACTCAATCCTCCCAACTACTACATGAGGATTACAATGGGGAAACTGAGGCTCAGAACAATAGATTACCTTGTATGTGGTCAGCCAGACAATAAAGGCCAACCCAGGGATTAGGCTCCACCTCCTTTTCTGAGTGGTAATCAATATTACTCAAGTATCATGTGCCCCTATGAAAAGTGGCATTTGGAAGTCAGTCCCCATGTTGGCTTTCTGCTGAGGGAAAGACCTACCTACCTGTCTTTCGACTTTGACAAACTTCCCCATCATACTTTGGTCTTCCATTTCCGATGTGGATGCTCTGGCTACATATGGTTCATTCCTAGGAAAAGGCCAATGATTCTTTAAGATCATTATATACAGTTTTGCTTTGCAAGGTCATTCCTGCTAGGGAGGCCATGACCCCGGAGATCAGCATTCTCATTCTTCTGCTTACCAAGGCTGGAGAGCTCAAGTCTCCAGACTCATGAGAGAAGCTGGTGTTTTCCAGGCTTCCCCACTGATGGTTTCATGCTTACCTTACTGCAGAAAAACTTGAAGGCACTTTGTATTGAAGTTACTAAAGCACCTGGTAGTGCTGATGTTTCATCCCTTGCCTTTCAGCCTCTGACTGGAGAGAGCGATGTGTGTGTGCAAAGGTGGGGAGGGGTTATCTGATCTCTGAAATTCTATACAGTGGGTCTACATATATTGCATGTGGCCCATTTTACTGAAAATTGAAGCAAAAACTGCTTCTGGAAAATTTTGCAAAACAAAGGATGCTGGTAGAAATGGGATTAAGATGCGTGGTGTGTTTGCTCTTAGCTTCAATATTTTTATACTTTATATGGATGAGAGGAGTCTCACTATTGCTCAAAACTGCTCATGTGAAGTCCCTTCTTGTTTTTTCTCTCTCCTAAGCTTTTTCCCTTTAAATCTCTGAACTCTCTTTATCTGAGCAACTGTAAATTAAAGCAGATGTCATAAATCAGTGACCATGTGCTGCATCTGGCCCCCAGTGTTTTCTTTGTGCTGCCCAGATTTGAAAATACATTAAAAAAATCTGGATATCAGTCTTTCTTTAAAAAAAAAATTGGACTACTTGGCAGCAGAGGGCTGTCATTTTTAGGATCAGCAGCAACAGAATAGAGTGACAGTCACCTCCTGTAGACAGGGCATACTTTCTGGGTCTATGGTCCCCTCACTCCATCCCCCAGGCTGTGGCTGAGGAGCAGCTGCCTTTGATCACCACCCTGAGCTCTCCTTATAAAAGGAAGGAGCATGATGTCCCTAAGGGGGACTCCTTACTTGACTCAAACACATTTGAGAATAAAGAGATGAAAGACAAGCTGTGGGCCTTCTACAGGACACTTCCTTGTTCAAACTCTCAAATATTTCAGAGGGAGGACCACTCTCCAATTGCAGTGTGTCAGGGGCCTGATGTGCAATTGCCTTCTCTGCCTTTGTCCTGGGAGAGACACCAGTCAAGGGTGAAAGATGCAGGAAAAGGACCCGGGCTCCTAACAGGAAGTGTTCTTCCTTCCTGCTTCAACAAACTTATGTAACTCCTCTTGCTTCATAACAAGGTGGTTATTTTTTTTTCTCCCAAAACCACCATCTACATGGTCTGGGAAGAGAGGTGGGAAGGACCCAGCTGAAGGATTGGGGGAAGGGATGCTCCACAGGCTTGGGCCACAGGGTCCACCAGTCAGTGCACACAAGTCTCACCTGGGAGATTGCTGGGATGGATAGGTGAAAGTTGTCCCTTTCTGAGACTTCTTATGTTTCGGCGTGGATGGAGGTCCAGGGGTAAAAATCATGTCTATTCTGAAAGAGGCAAAAAATAAAGGGGGAGATATTAAATTACACAAAGCTTTGTTTTAGAAGGAAAGCAAGTCAGAATGACTTGTGGGTTTGGAATATGTAAGAGAAGGGAAAAGAGACAGAGGAGAAAAGAAGCAGAAAGAAAAAGAACTTAGCACATAGTACATTACCATCCTTTTCTGTCTGATGGCACTGAAAGCATTTTCCCGTCCCCAGGGAGAGGGAGGGAGGCAGACAAACCACTGAATCAGGGTGAGGACTGCATCTTGTTATTTGTTACAGGAAATGGCATATGTGTGTGGCAAGCCTGTGTATCTCCCAGCTCTTTTATCCCTCCCCAAACCATTTAATTAGGGAGTTTTACAGAGGAGTCCTAGACTCCATCTTTCAGTGTGTAGATGCCTGTTGATCTGCAGACATCTCTGGCTATGACCAGGATGGGACCAATCCTGGCTCTGCACCCCACTTCTACTTCTGTGAGACACCAGCTTTCTCTGTGAGCTGGGATGAATGAGAGAGAAATGTATCCCTTCATGCTGCAGAGTTGGGGTGGAAGCAGGACCATTAAGACCATGCATCTGGAAATACCCATCTCTGTCTCCCCACTGGAAACCCAGCACATCTCTGTGGACAGGCCATATCTCATACTAAATCAGCTTTTCTGTCCATCTAGCCCCCTGCAGTATCAGCATGGCTGGGGAAACACAGGTGGTCATCCAGGTGTTCAAGCTCTGGCCATAACTCCTAGGAGTACACTTTCCTGATGAATATTAAAAACTATGACACTGTCACCATCTAGTCTGTGCTAATTAAAATTGGCTGATATTTGTGGAGTTGGGACTGCCTTAGCCATCATGCTCCCTTCCTTGGTCTCTAAGAGAGCCACACTTGCATAAAGAATAGAATATCACACTCAGAACTTGCTCACACATCCGTTTGTTCAATAGGCACTGAGCTCTGACTGCCTGAAACTGTGTGAGGCAAAGTAAGCTTACCTTCAACTTGATGGCATCATTCACTTCCAACCCCTGCAGAGTGGTGTCTCTGTTAACTCCGCAGGAGCCTCGAATGGGGAGACATTATTTGGACAAGCCCAGAAAGGACTCACATTCATCTGAGTTGTCTCAATTTCTCTATAGGTGTGCATGTCATGTGTATTTCTCAGTGTGTGTGCGTGTGTGTGCGTGTGTGTGTCTCTGTGTGTGTGTGTGTGTCTGTGTTTGTGATCATGTCATTCTTACACAGTATATCAGTTAAGATCATCACAAGATCTAGGCAGATCTTATATAGATCTTGTGACGATAGCATATGTGATACCTACAGGCCACCATACTCACTGGGTAATTTGGGTAAATCTTTGGCTCTTTCAGCTTTCATTTCCACATCAGAAATATGGCACCTGTTACGCAATAAACACCTTGAAGATTCTAAGGGACTGGGCACATATGCACAGTATCCAGGTACTGAATTAAGATGGTTGCAATTAATAGTGGGACACTGATGCCATTTGCATATTTTCACTATTATAAATAACACTTAAATTTTTTAATATGGTCAAAAAATACATATATAGAATTAGCCAGCTGGACTTAATGGGGTTTTGTATTTATTTTTTGCAGCATGCAAAGCAACACAGGGAGAGCCAGTGGAATATATGCCGCCTCCTCTCCATCAGCCATGATTGGGTGCTGACCTCAGCTGGGCCATGGCAATGACACACAGTATCTTCACAGCCCATTTGGTCTGGTACTTGTTGGCTTTGACATCCACAATACTTGATAAGAGTTTTTGTCCTTAAATTTTCTCCTCTGCGTTTTCCATTACTTCTGAATGCCTTTCACGGTAAGCTCTAAGGTTTCACCTGACTTTTATTCCTGAGTGGCAGGGAGAATGTAGTCCCACCAGTCCATTAGGGGGGACTCTCTTACCTGGTCTGAAGGTACTTTATCCTGGAAAGCATGTCGAGGTGGCCTGCGGAATACTGCTCAATCACATCCTTCACGTCATAAGGCCTCAAGGTCTCCTTGAACTTTTTTTTATAGAGACGGAATTGCAGAATTCTACAAGGCAAAGAAGGGGCATTTGTGCATCATGCTGGGGGTGAAGAGAACAGGAGGCTAGCAAAGTCAGGGCAGGGGAGAGAGAGCAGAGAAAACCACCTAGGGACACTCTCTGGCCTTTTGTTGCAGTTCTATCCCTTTGAACCACGTGTAATTAGGCCTGCTGGCAAATTTCCTGCAGGATTACCTCACTTTGATCATTTGAATAATGAGACAATAGTAGTAAGGACAGAGCTGAGATGTATTGAGCATTCATTACATGCCAGATGCTGAGCATCACACTTATGAACGATCTGCTAATACATCAGTTTAGGATGATTTGACTATGGCTCAGAGAGCTTCTGCACCTCCCCAGGGCTACCTAGCTCATGAGCACAGAGTTGATCCTGTGCACTTATGAGGCCCATGCTCTTAGTCATTGTCACAATGCTTTCTATTTGAGGACAGCTGGTGTATCTTCTCCTCAATAGACTCTTTAATTCTTTTGCTCTGGGCACCTAGAAAAAGTTAATTTCTGGTCTCTGGATTTTCTAAGTCTCCTTGTTACATAGAGAACCTAGAACAGTAGATGAAGTCAAACCCTCACTCCATCTTCTGGGAAGCAGTAAGGTCAGGCATGATGGGCTGCTGAGGTCCTTGAGAGTCTCCTCTTGAGGGTAACTCCTGCTGAGCAGTGTCAGTGTACACTCTAACAGTCGGTGTCAGAAGGCACAGCTCCTCCCATTCCCTCTCAACTTGTGTTTGCACAGATCTTTGACATGGTGCCTTGGAAGTCCTTTCTGTTTGTCGTGACCCACGGCTCCAGCATGAAACCACCATTTATTTCTACCTGTTGATTATAGCATCCCAATTACTTGCCCTCTTTCCCAAATTATTGCCATTTTATAAGCCTGACCTTTTCCTAGTTTCACTTAAGGTGAGAGTCAGAATTCTAAGGTTCACAGGATAAACCTGCCCCCTGCCTGCTTTTGAAAGTAAAGCTATCCTGGGACTCAGCACGACCACTGCTTCTGTACTATGGTGGCAGAGCTGAACACTCGCTACAGAGACCTAGGGACCTCGAAGCCTAAAGCACTTACTGTCTGGCACCTTACAGAAGAAGTTCGCTAACCCTTGAACTAAGGGGAAAATGCTAAAAATTAGAGGGCAGAGTCCAGAACATGAAGCAATCCTGCAGAGCCCTCCCTTTAGGTCAACACAGTCATTAACTAGTTTTCTCTGAATAAGATCCTTCGGCTGGTTATGAATCCAGGTGCTGTGTTCTCATCTAGCCTTTTCATTCTGTCCATGATGGTGCCATGAGAAATAGGACCAAGACTTTGCTGAAGTCCACAGCTTATTACAACCCTGGTGCTCCCCTGATCTATAGGACCAGGAATCTTGCTAAAAATATCATGACTGATTCTTGGACAATCAAATGAGTTCCCAGGATTCACCCTTATGAAGCTTGTGTTCTTGTTGATTTTTTTGAAGAATTCTAAAGCAAACCAGAAATCACCAGGGTTGATTATAGAATCCTCTAACACAGAATCCAAAAGCTCTCTTCTAACACAGAATCCAAAGGTCTCCAATTTATTATCTTGTTTCAATGTTAATGAAGATGGGAAGAAGAAAAGCCATTCTGAGTAAAATGCTGATAAAGGAAGAAAACACCCTGTCAGTATACCCTCTGTTCTGACACCCTTTTGAATAAATGCTGGTTAAACCCATAGAACAGTGTGGCAGTGGGAAGAACTGTCAGGAGGGCAGTGAGGACACGTTTTTAGCAAGGTGAGCAGGAGTCACAGACCACTGGCCAAGGAGAGCCATTGCTCCTGAGGCAGGGTCCCCCTCAGAGTTTTAATACCCTTGGTTGTTGGCCAGAAGTGACTGGAAGCTTCTTGCCCCTGCCCAAAGCCCATGGGCACCTTACGAGTCATGTCCTGGGGAGCTGAGCTGGGCCAGGGAAGCACAAAGGGGATGGGGGTGGTCATTACCTGACGGCTCGGATGGCGGCCTTGAGGGTGGGGATCATGTCTTCGATGGGGAAGTCATTTCCGTAGCCCCTGTCTTCTGCCATGGGATCGCCTGTCCCAGCATCTGGGAGGGAGACACAGGAGTCAATGGCAGGCCTCCACACATGGGGAGGCTCTGAGACCCTTCCTGGAGTAGGCGCTTCCAGGCCTCAGGCTTTGTCGGGCCACACTGTGGCCTCGGGCTGCCACAGCACCCACCCTTCCTTGCACCCCCCTTTTTTGTCAAGAAGTTTGAGTTTAGAGGCCCAAGGACTGGGGAGGGTATGTGAAGTGGGCAAAGTATGTCCCACAGGACCCAAGAGGTCCCATGAGACAGCAGTGGACACCTGTGTGGGTCTCAGAATCTGACAGATCTGAAGTGGGATTCTTTCTCTGTCGGTCTGTCCTGGTGACCTTGGGAAATCACTATTTGTGCCATTCACACTTCACAGATCCCAGAGAGTACCCAGCAATATGGTGAGAGTCAAGGACCCATGACCTCAGACACGGGAGTCACTGCTTTCCTGCTGGCCCTCCCTCTTCATGAGTAGAAGATGCACACGAGGCCATTGTTCCTATGGCTCCTCAACCTGAGAGGGCTTTTCTGACCCCTCTTCCCCCTCCCAGACCTGGGTACTGAGGCGTCTATCTGCAGATGGCTGTGCAACTGGTCTCTGCCTTCAAGTTGATCTGCACAGCTGTTTGCCCTTCAGGGCCACCTCAGAAACCATGGCAACCTGCCCCCAGCTCCCCGGAGACGGCCAGGAAAGCAGCTAACTCGGGAGCCTCCTGTCCTATGAGCCCTGATGCCTGGAGGGACATGAATGAGATGAGGGAGAAGGAGGGAAGGGAGAGGCACTTTGGGGACTCAAGAGTTCTTCAAAGGAGAAGAGGGGAGGGGAGGGAGGAGGTGGGCTCAGGAGAGCAGAAGTCGGGGAGACAGGTGGAGGGCTGGAGGACAGGAGGCCGTTACCTTCGGAGCTCTGCCAGAAAGCGTAGGCTTTCATGCGGAAGGCGGTGCGGAAGCGCTCTTTATTGTTTAAGCCAGCAGGCTTTGGCTCTTTAGAAGGACTTTCTTCTATGGCATCTACATTCAGAGGGGTAAATAGCTTTCCTTTAGTATTGCTACCACGAGGATTAGAAAGGCGAACCCGATCCAAGAGACCCAGCTTTTGGCTACAAAATAAGCAAAAGTGAACAATTTTCCTCCTTAAGTGCAGGCTCTTGTAACTTCCCATCCCTCCATAAAGACTCAACGTCCTCCTCCAAGGCTGATGGGGAGCGGTGCCCAGTGTAGGTCAGGGTGGGGCTCACATGCTGGGCACCAGTGCCCAGCCTCACATCTTGGGCGAGCTCCTCAACTCTCTGGACCCAGCTTCCTCCTATGCTAAAGTGGGGCACAGGTAAGATCCAGTAAGGGCGGAGACCCCCTCCACGGTTTCCCTTTCTGTAGTTTCAGCTATCTGCTGTCTACCACTATCTGAAAATGTAACTAGAGTGCAATGAAGGATTAAGATATTTTGAGAGAATGCATGCACATTGCATAACTTTTATTTTATCCTATTATTATAAATATTTATTATTCATTATTGCTGTTCATTTTTTACTGTCTAATTTGTAAATTCAATTTCATCCTAGGTGTGGGTGTATATGTAAAAAAAAACAAAACACCCAGTGTATGTCAGGCTGTGCACCACCCTGTTTCAGGATCCACTAGGGATCTTGGATGCAATCCTGTGGATGAGAGGGGCTACTGGGAGGTGCCTGTCTCATAGTTCATACTGCAAAGAGTCGTTCCTTCTTCATGTTTCTCCCCTCTGTATCAATAACTTTCTGTCTTTCCTTTTTACCACATTGTGGTGCAAAATATGACTTACACAGGCAGATCCTTATCAAATGCCCCTTGAACAGAACTAAATAACATAAAGCCATAAAGTGGCACCTTTAACCTGCCATCCACAGACAGAATCCAGGGGGAAAATGACACCTTTAAGTTTCTAGCCTTTAACTAAAATTTAGCATCTCTTTCAATTAACAAATTCAGGTAACAAACTCCACCAATATCCCCAATGCCTATAACTGCCCACAAAATAAATTATAGATAATTGTTTGTCCTATTAGTTCAAGGTATTGTTTATGCTCATGGCAGCTTCAAGGTTATCATAGTATTCAACCTGCCACTTGGTCTTGTCCTTTAGTTCAACACAATGAAGCATGTATTTGACAGCTCAAACTTTTAAGTATTTAACTCTATTTAATACTTAACCAGTTTCTTTTATAACTGCATATTATATTTTATTTATGGATTCAAATAAGTATTCTAAGAAAGAGTCCGTGGGTTTTGCCAGACTGCCACAAAAGTTCTTGGCACAAAAAGTAGTTGATAACAAATATACAGTTGTTCTGGTACAAAATATCAGCTCCTGTTACAAAATAACACCTCCACTTGAGGCCATCCTTCCCATCTGGCTGACATTGGCCAAGCCATACTGTTCCTGATCCTCAGGAGCCCCATCTGTAAAATAAAGGTAAGCATTCCCTGCTCCACTGGTTTGCAATGAGACGATGTTGGTCAAAGATTTGACAAAGAACTTGATACATGGTAGGTGCTCTTTAAATATGAATTTCTTGTGGTGCACAACTGTAATCCCAGCAGCTTGGGAGGCTGAGGCAGGAGGATCATGAGTTCAAGGCCAGCCTCAGCAAAAGCAAGGTACTAAGCATCTCAGTGAGACCCTGTCTATAAATAAAATACAAAATAAGGATGGGGATATGGCTCAGTGGTCGAGCGCCCCTGAGTTCAATCCCCAATACATCCCTCCCCCAAAATAAATAGATATGAATTTCTTCCCTCTATTTCCCACCCTCTGTGCTGTTGCACTAGTTGGCATGAGAAATAGTGATTTCTGTGTGAAGATTTCTGGAGAGTCGTATTGCATGTTTTCCCACATAAATAGGCTCCAGTCATTGGCTTCCTCTCCACCACTCCACATGGGGCTTAGCACAAAATAGGCTCTCATGAGAGGCTGAATGCATATGGGGGTCCCATCAGTTCCCTGTGGGCCTGGGACCACTCTGTGTTCTGAGAAGCCAGTCTCACTGCCACAGCTGTGGGCTTCGGCCTTTGCAGCCTAGGGTTGTGTGGAGGGAGGTCCTGGGGTTGGGGCTGCAGGGCTCAAGTGGGAATGCCACCCCTGCCAAGAACTCCGGCACTCCCTGAGCACCAGGTCCTCATCTGGTACAGGGGCTTGACAACTGCTTCATAGAGGCTTGGGGACTATTACACATGATATTATCTGTGACACTTCCTGCCTGCAGCCTGGTATAGAGAAGTCACTAAGAAATATTGTATAAATAAGTAAATAAACAGATGACTATGAGAATAAGCAATGGGCACCCCTTATTTCTTGCTCCCTTGGGGGCTATTCTCTCTCATCCTGCACTGTTCACGGCAGTTTGGTTGAAGGACTCCATGAAGAACCAGCCCAGGGTACATTTAGATAAACTCCAATATTCAACCAGCTCCATCTTCCCTGAGCTGAAGTCAAAATTTTTGGAGCTGCCTTCCTGACCAATATTTGGTGAATAGCAGATAGGACAGAGAAATGTCAATGGTGGATGAGGCAGGAAGTGAACTGAACACATAGAGAAGGCAAACCTCCCACCAAGGAAGAAGAGGCTTTGGCAATTACTTCTCAGGCCAACTTCCTTCTTGGCCCCTGCCTACCTGTCCTGCCCAACCTCCAAGTGGCTCAATTTTTCTATCTGCACCATGCCCTTTGTCCTTCCCAAAGAGTCCTCCCACACACAGGTCCACCTGCCTGCAATGCCCTTTCTCACCTCCTCAGACAACCTCATTCTTATCTGCAAACCTATGTACAAGTGTCCCCCCTTGGAAAAAGATACTCCTCATCTGCTTCAAAGTCATGTTGTATTTCTCTCTGTCACATATTAACACACTGTGTGGAGAAACCATTTCCACATCTGCTAGGCAGAGCCTCTGCCTAGTTATTTTGGGCTTAGCACACTCCCCTGCCCAGTACATCTGGATGCTCAGCATGGCACCTCAGATCATGGGTTTTGAGTAGAGACATCCTGGTGAATCATGTGACCCAGGACACATAACTTGTGCTCTCTGGTCTCCAGCTTCCTCACAAGCAGAATAAAGACAGTGAGCCTGTGCTTCACACAGCTGACAAAGAGTTAAATGCAGTAATGTTTGTAAAGTGCTTTGCCCACTGTCTGGGATGCAGGAAGCGTTCAATAAATGCTGGCTATCATCATTATTTTGGTAAATAATCCTCTTCTCACAGAAGCAGTGGAAAGCTTACCACATTTGTGAAAATACTGGAAATAATTTCCTGGGTCACAAAAAAAAGGTTTGTGTGGGTTTTTTAAATTTTATTTTATTCTTTTTCATGAACTGAGCTTTGGGGATTTATATATTATTTTCCAGGGCTTCTTAATGCTAATCTCAAAACACTCAACATTGCACTTTTACCCCTACTGGCAGGAACTAAGTACGGGAGGAGCTTAATTCCAAATGAATTAAGCAAGACAAAATGAATGGCAGCCGCTTTATCCTGATTTGAAATTTCAGCATAATTTTGGAAAGATAATGAGCAGGCCCTCTTGATTCTATCTGTGTTGGGACCTAATTCTTTGTCAGTTAAATGCTTTAGTCCAAACTCTGAGAGTCTGAATTGCTTTGGCCATGTTCACTTAATACTGCGTTGGTCACAGACAATGCTCAGACTGTGTTAAGATCCAGATGTGTAGGGCCAAAGTCAGAAATCTTGGCTCTAAATTACTAACAGCCCTTGTGCCTAAGAGGCTTACAGAATTCTTCTTCCAGCAAAGTGTATGATCAGCTTACTTCTTAATTGCGTTGCCTGAAATCCAAGACCCCACAGGATAATCAGATGCAAGCAAAGTTCACCACTGAAACGTGAGGCCCAATACTGCCCTTCTCTGTACAGATTTCCAGTGTACAATCCAGGACTTGTTCACAGGGTACTGCAGGTCTTGCAAGCAAAACCCTTCTTGGAGCTGACACCAGATTTCCTTGGAAAGCCTGGGTCCCGTCTTTGTTAGGTACAGACAGTTTCCAAATATGATCTAGAAAAGCTGCAGGTAGATGGACTGGAGACAGAGGGTGAAATCTAGGTGGCTCTGTCCTGGCAGACACAGCCCTTGTCTTGGGCCCTGGCTTGAGGTCTCACCACCCAGGAAACTCCAGCCACATTCAACTCCACAAAGTTCCCTGGCATTCAGCACTAGGTACATGCTGTGACCTCAGCCGGAGAGAACCTTCAGCCTTTCCTTCATCTAAATGACTCTTATTCTTATCTAAAACCTGGCCTGAGTACCAGCCTCAAGGCTCAGTTATCAGCACATCTAGGTGCTCAGGATAATGAGCAGGATGAGTGAAATCTCATGCATCATGCCTTGGCACACTTTACACTTTCCCATCCACGGCACTTGGCCGTCATCATCAAACCTTTGACTCACAAGGGACCCTTCCACCAAATCAATGGTTTTTGCCTGGGGGTGGCTTCAATCCCTCAGAGAACCTTTGGCAATGCCTAGAGACGTATTTGGTTGATCCAGCTTGGGGAGCTCAACTGGCTTTTAGTGGACGGATGCCAGAGGTGCTGTTAAGTACCCTGAGATGCACAGGATAGACCCCATAACAAAGAATCACCCCTTCTAATTATCTACAGCACTGAGGCTGAGCATCCAAAATAAAAGCTTTGGGACCCACTGGCTCATCCAGTTTGTACGTCCATCTAGCACAGTGGCTGGCACAGGTGAGCACTGAAGGCATTATAATGATGCTGAAGGAAGGAAGAAAACATTTGATATTCTGATTAATAAAATGCATCCCACCTTAACTGAGCAAGGGAGTGCTGTATAGTAGAAATAATGTGGGCTTTGGAGTAAGAGAGATGGATTCATGTCTGTGCTCTGCAGTTATTATTTTAGATTGGGTAAGTTATAAGCTCTTTCTGATTCAGTTTCTTCATCCAAAAATGAAGCTCATATTAATTTACCCAACAGGAGATGTGTTTGACACCTTGTGAGTGCTAGGCTCTGATAGCGACCTGAGTAGATGGTGTAGTCCTCGGCCTCCTGTGAGCTCATGACAAAGTCAGGACAACACGGTCAGCAAATGG